TATTTCCACGAAAAATACCATCGAGTGAGGGGGGTGGTAGTTCTTTTTCTCGTTCTTTCAGTGATGATACCACTCACCGCTTACTAAGTCTTTAGCTGGACCTTTGTGTTTAAGTAGAAGTATATCTACATTTTGAGTCACTAATAGATAGGATTTAGGTGCTAAGAAGTAACCCGTATCTACTTTAGACTCTCTCTTTCATTTTCCCAATTCTGTCGATGAAAGCTCTTCTTCAGGTATTGGACTTACTGGAACAGCTGAATTAGGATAGTAATAGCATCGGTAACAACCCTATTTTTTCATTTCTTTGAATTCTTAGAATTACCTCTAGTGAGAAATCCCACAAACAAAGGAATAGTACGACATAACGGATTCATTCTCAAATCCCCCTCTCGTCAAATTCTTTCTTTTTGCCCGGAAGCGTCTTTCCTTCAGGTTCAGTAGCTCAGGTTCCGGTGAAGGAAAAGGTTTGAGGTTCAGTCTTTCGTTTCGTCTTGACTGAATGTTCCGGAGTGAAGTTCGTAAACTCTTGAGTTGAGTCTTTCAAAGCAGCGTCTTCATTCTTGAACTGTAAACAAACTCTTCTTTCCTTTCGGCTTTCCTTTCAACACTTTCAGGTTCAGTAGTTCCGTCTCGTTCATCTGACGTATACCTTCTTTCCCTTCATTCTCTTTTTGTAAAAAAGGGGCCAAGCCGAGGTGATTGAGTTAAGTCGAGAATTCTTGGTTAGTCTCCTTTTGCCAACCTACTCCCTGATGATCATACAGCTTCTTTCCCCTTTACCTCTGTCTGTCAGCTGGCTCGTGAAACTGATTGAAGTAATTAAATTACATTGGTTGGACTATGTCCTTCTGCACCTCTCCTGGCCAGCAAAGTACGAGAAGAGGGAAAGGAAAGAGAAGAGAACTGATACGATAAGGAATCAATACAAGGGGAATAAGATTCGGATTACCTTGTGGATCGAATATCTCAAGCAAAGAACACTTTGTTTGAGATTCGAATCACTCCAGAAGCAAGATCGATCATGTCTAGCTTCAATGATTCTTGTTGATCAAATATCTCAAGACAAGAACACTTGATTGAGATTCGAATCACTCCACAAGCAAGATTGATCATGTCGAGCTTGAATGATTCTACATGCAACCTAAACTACATAGAATTGCAAAGAAACTTAGCCATTGGCTAAAGAAAAGCACAAATGCTTCTTTTGATATATCTTCTAAGTCTTTCTTACAAATATAACATACAAGGCTTTATATAGCCTCAAAATGAAACTATTAAAGGCATTACAAAAGTTGTAACATTCACACTTTATGGCCATAATTAGCCATTATGTAAATGTAACCGAAATTAAATAAATTGTCTTAAAATACAATAACTCTAAATTATAACCCACCCAAAATTTACAACAATCAAACTTTATTCTTCTTCAATGTAGCATGAATTGAAACATCTTTTGATAATTTTGACAACCTTTTCTTCACATCTTCATTGAAGCATATTGTATGATTGATGTCTCTTGGTTCATATCAAGAACAAGAAGAGAAGTGAAGCTGCGAGACCCTTATAATGGGCGAAGGCAATGCAATTGTGAGACCCGGAGGGCGAAGGAGCGCTACGCCTGCAATGAAACCGACAAAGGAGGGGAAGGAACTGAACTTACGCTTACCTTAGTTACTGAACATACAACTGACCTTAGTTACATAACATACAAACAAGGTAAAGGAAAGAAAAGAAAAGAGTTACTTACAGAGCTCCCTCTTTCTCTGATCTTTTCTTTGCTCCTACAAAAACTCATACGGTGTTGTGTGTGTCTCTCTCCTACTCCTGAACCTCTACAACTCTGGGTCTCCCAGCTTCGCTAAATCACCTGTCTAACATATTCTCTCCTCTACCTTCAAACAAAGACGGTAAACTCAGAGAAGGTTCAGTCAGGATAATTAATTAATCTTGCCCTTCTTTCAAAGACTCGGTAAATAGCTTCAGGTTCTGGTTCCGGAGTTCAGGATAAGTTCTCTTTCTTTCTTTCAGTTACAACAAAAATCAATGTCAGCTCAATGTCTAAATTATATAAAAACCATATACTTCTATTTAGAGGTGTACATTCAACCCAACAACCCGAACCAACTCAACCCGAACTATAAGGATTGGGTTGGGTTCATTTTTTTGAACCCGAACTAAATCGGTTCGGTTTCAGGTTCGTGGATAAAATCCTCGGGTTGACCCGAGCCAAATAAAAATATATAATTTAATATTAAGAATTTTTTTAGTATCGATAGGTTTGCCAGAGTGGTACCTTGGATTCTCTACGGACACCCATGCCTAAGTTTGATGTCAAGGGGATAAACATTTTTTTAACTGTGAATAATTATAGATCGATCTGTGTTTGTTTGTGAACTTTTAATATATTTTATCAAATATTGTATTCGAATAATTATATATTGTGGATAAATAAAACTTAATCGACAACTCAACCCGAAGTTTGTTTGTGAACTTTTAGTATATTTTATCAAAGATTGTATCCAAATAATTATAAATTAGGGATAAATAAATTTTATAATTTTTTTTTAATAAAGTAAGCATTTAATAAGCTTCAAAATCGGATGGAATACGTCTCACTCCTAAAATGGATAGTATCAATTATCTTCCTCTAATTGAGATCTATGTACTTAAAGATGTCCATTTAACCCGTAAATTCTTTTCGAGGAATCCTTGACCTGATCTCAATAAAAATTAAAAGAAGAGCTAAAAACAAGAACGAAAAAACAGGAAGACTTCTCTGTCTCCGCTCTGCTCCCGGACCTTGTCTTCGCTTTGCTCTCAGGCCTCTGATATAGTTAGACAATTTTGACACATTACAAGCCAATCCATAATATCATGTATGTAGTGAGGGCACGCCACATGACACCGAAGCTCAACACAATTGAGTAAGTAGGCGTCAAAAGTCCTACAAGCCCTTCATTCGACCTCTTCGAGATTCGGTTGACCATCGCTACATCTAGTTGACTTTTTTATTTTATTTTTTTCAATTTAGTAAATGAATAGGGTAGTTATGAATTGGCAATAGGTGGCCTAAGTATTAAATAATAAATTAACCTCCATTTTCAATTTAATTTTAGGTAACACAAAGAACATGCTTTTGATGTACATATATAGTATTATTATATGCCCTTTATTTCATATATATATATATATATATATATATATATATATATATATATATATATATATATATATATATATATATA